ACTTATAACTTATAAGTTGTTACTATCTTGGGAGTTGTATATTTATTTTAAATTTTAATATTTAACTTATTTATATTGATGTGATATTTTTAGAACTTTAAGGATTTAGAAATCCTTAAGAGTCAGTTGTTTAGAGTTGTTTTGTGTTAAGGTTAAAGTTGACCTAAAGTGAGGGAAGATGTACAAGATTTTTTGAGGACTTGAACTTCATAAGTTCATTTCTCAGAGTTTTAGAGATAGATTTTTAAGAGATAGACTTTGAATTCGAGGGAAATCTTTTTTTTTTCTTCAACTTTATAAAAGTATTCTAATCCTACCTTGAAGTGGAGTTTATAGTGCTTGAGTAGTGATTCTAAGCTAAGAAGCTAAGAATTAGAGATTAAATTGTTGTACAATGAGTTTTTGCAGAGTCTCGTTCTTTGTCGTTCTTCCTTTTTTCCCTTATTCATGGAAGATTCAAGGTAAGAAATTTTTTTTGTTTGATTCTTTGACGTTGTTGCATGTTGCTTATATTTTTTATTTGCTCAATGGTGGCTTAGTTTGTTGATTTTGAAGTTGTTGAAGATAGTCAAATGGGTTTTTGGAGTTGGTGAACCTAAGAACCAAATTAAATGATTTTTTGATGTATCCAAGTTGCATGTTGCATTTGTGTTATAGAAGTTGTTTAGAATCATTTTTATGGTTTGAATTTTAATTTTAGAACTTGTAGATGAGTTGATAAGGTATGAGGTCCAAAAAATGATGAAGTTACATGTGAGGTCTACATAATTTCATTGGGCCAAATTTTCATAGCCAGGGAAAATTAGGACAAAGGTCATTTTGAAGCCAAATTGGCTGAGTCAAATTTTCTTGGCTAAGCAAAATTTAGGTAAACTCACCTAAAAGTTGAATTTGTTAGGCCAAATTTCCTTGGTTAGGAAAAATTTGGACAGATTCACTTGAAAAGTGTTTCAAGTCAAATTGGTTGGCTAAATTTTCATGGCTAGACGAATTTTGGTCAGAGATCATTTTGGAGCCAAATTTTCTTGGCTATGTGAACTTTTGATAGATTCACTTGAAAGGTGAATTGGCTGAGCCAAGTTTTTTAGCCAGGAGAAATTTGGACAAAGTCATTTAAAAGGTGTTTCAAGTCAAATTGGTTGGGCTAAATTTTCTAAGCTAGGCGATTTTAGGAACTTAGAATATATTTATGCTTTTATCTATCATATTGATGTTGCAAGTTGAATAAATGTGGGACTGTATTATAATATGTTGCTTTATGATTAAAGAATCATGTTGTAAAATGTTGGTTTGAACAAGTGAAGTTGATTTGGATAATGTTCCAAGTTTTGATATGTTGTATGTTGTATAAGTAAAAGTAAGTCAAGTTGTTTAAGTTGAATTGAATAATATTACAAGTGTTTTATAAATTGTGTCGAATAAATAGAAATGTTGAGTTGAGTTGAGTTATGTTGTGATATGCATGGTTCTTGCTATTGAGATGTGTTGTGAACTTAGAACTATAGGATATGTGTTGTTTTTGAAAGTGAAAATATCTTATTTTGGGGATATGTATTGTGGTGATATGAGAGCCCAATGTTGAAAACCCTTCTTGAGATCGTTGTCTCTTAAAGTAGAGTGTTTAGTATTTACTAAGTTCTTAGTTGATACAGTATGGGCACAAAGTTCAAGCCATATCAATTTAAAAGTGATCAAATTTGAGTAAGGTATGAAGTTGAAGAGTAAAATCCTTAACTGATTTATGGAAATGTGTGTAGCATTTGGAGGGTAATTAGTGAGTTAATTCCACATAGTCTTAGTTTACGCATACTAATACTAATGTCATGGTGGATTCATACCTTAGTTGTTATATTCTTGGTAGAGGTAATGGGTTTGCTAGTTTAAGTGGCGACATTCGAAATCAATAATGTTATTGAATTGACATTGATATGCCATATCTTGTATGGAATTGGCATCGATATGTAAGACGTTGTATTGACTTTATTTCCTTTTTAGGGATCAGACATAGTGATTTGGTATAGTCAAGCTACTCAGATTGTTCACCTATGTTATAAGAGATCTCTTAGTTGAAATGTACGATAATGCATAAAGTTACCATGTTTGTAAGTTGCTATGTTGATAAGTTGTATAACGTGGTGCTATCTTGTTAAGTGGTAAAGTTGTTAAAGATTGTGTGTATTGTTAAATGTTGAGTTGAAAGTTGTGGTCAAGTTGCTAAGTTGTAAAGTTGTGCTTATGTTGTGAAGATGTTTATACAGTTAGTTTATAACTCCTATATGTTATGTTGTTTTCTTTCCATAAGAGCTTACCCTTGCTATTTTATGTTGTTAGACTATGATGATTGTATAAATATGGGACTAGTGTAAAACTAGGTTGGATGGCGAGCATGATTTTTGAGCCATGTTAGTGATAACGATGTTTTGGTCGAGGTTATTTTCATACAGCTAGGTATTGTTAGGTTGATAACATAGGATTTTTATGTTTTGTAATTCTGATATTTTTTTTGTGTGTGTATACATATACATACATATATATATATATGTACATATACACATATACATATACATATATATATATATATGTATATGTATATATATACATATACATATATACATATACATATATACATATACATATATACATATATATAGGAAGCATATCAAGTGAGAGAGAATTTATTATGAGAGATGAGAGAGTTAAAATATAACCCTTAGATTAATCAAGTGAGAGAAAATTTGGGGTTTAATCAAGTGAGAAGAAATTAATCTAAAGGTTATATTTTAACCCTCTCATCTCTCATAATAAATTCCTCTCACTTGATATGCTCCCTATATATATATATATAAACACATATGCATGTATGTACATGATTGTGATGTAATTCCACTAAAGGATTTTATATTTTCAGTTGATTATTCCTTTACATATATATTGCTACATAAATATCTAAACACTGCTTACATGAAAAATTCTAAATTAGCTGATATTTATATATGTTTCCATTTCTTAGTCAATGAGTTGTAGAAAATGTAGAAACATGTCAGTTTGTTGCGTAAGTTAGTTTTAAGTTAAATTCAAAAATACAAACTTAAAAAAATTATTATTTTTTAACTTAATACTCGTATTTTAATGATATACAAATAAGTAAAAATAAATAAAAAGGAAACCTAATTCATGTTGTGGGAGAGATCGAAAGTGAAAGAACTTTTTTGGTAAAGCTTCCAATAAGCTACATGTATTAGCTTTTCTATTTTTTTTTTTAATTTATTCCACAGAAATAAGTTACTTTAATTTTTCATGCTTTTATATAAATTTTTATGGCTCACATTTTTACTCATAAGTAGAAATTAAGCAAGAAATAATTTAAGCAAAACAAACTCTATATAGTTTTTATGTTTATATTTTTTAAATTTTATAATTTAAGATATAGATTTTTAGTCCTTATATTTTTAGATTTTTAATTTTTTTTAACCATTATCATTATTTTTTTTGTAACATTGTCTTTTTTGTGTTGACATGACATTATTTTTTTTTAACATTGTCCTTTTATTTTTTCAAAGTTATTATAAATTAGGTATCAACACTTCGTGTCTATTTTCTATCTTCTACTATAATGTTTATTGTTAAGACATTTCATCTTCAAAAAATTGAAGACCTTTACAACGTAAATACAAAACATATGTTACAAAAAAGAAATTAACGATAGAGGCTAAAAGATTAAAAAATTGCAAATACAAGAATTGAAAAGATCAATCTTAAACTATACAGATTATATATGATTGAAAAAAATATGTATAATGACTAAAAAATTCATTATAAACTATAAGGAATAAAATATACAGTATGTGAAGCTATAAAAACAATTATTTTATTTTTTTTTAATATTTAGACTACATATATTTTCATTGCAAATAATAGTATTGAAATTATTTAGCAAAATTTCTTGTCTCAAGTATTTAACACAATTATATGACTAAAACTTACTCAAGATTTCATTTGTTAAATTTGAAAGCACTTGTGCCGGTTAATTCACGTTGTTTTAATATATAATAACAATTATGCTTCTTTAATTTTATAATTTAGCTTTACATACATTAGTGGAAAATCAATCTTTTACGTCACTGTTTTCTCGTCGGTCATAAAAATATCCAACGTAAAAAATACGTGGTGATATTTTTGAAATTAATCTAAACTTTTTTATGTCGAGCCAAAGGAGGTCCGATGTAAATAAGTTGTTTTATTCCCCAACACCTTCATCTTTTTCGTGCGTGCAAGTGTTTTTATATGTTTTCCTCTAGGGTTTTTCCCTGACAATTTTTGGTGAGGACAACGACAGTGAGGGGTTACGACAACAACGGCAAAATTCATTTTTGATTATGAACCTATCTCTGCGATTGGGTTGAAACATTTAGGCGTTTTCATGGATTGAGGTTAGTGTTTTCATGCGTGTTGATCTTTTTGTGTAAAAATATTATTTTACTCCTGCACACAAGTGTTTTGACACTATTTTCCTTTCCAACGGTTTCCGGCTACAGCGGTGATAGACCTTTGGGCATTTTTCGTTTATGGTGCACAGTGGCAAGACCTATTTTTTATTCTTGACCTATCTCTCCGATTGAATTGAAGCAATTTAGTATTTTTTGGACATGTTTATGGATTGAGATTATTTTTTTATTTATCTATCAACCATTTTATGTCGGACGTGAAGATGTTCGACATAATTTTATGTCGACTAAAACACCCGACGTAAATTTACGTCTCCCGCATTGACATCTGACTTTTTTCCGAGATAAAAAATATAAAATAACAGACGTAAAATATCTCTTTTGTACCAGTGATGATAATATTAGGATTTACTCGGTCTTATATTTAACCAAGAATATTTGTTAAAAAAACTTATCTTTTTCGTTAAAGTTTTATATAGTTCAAGATTAAATTTATAGTTACGATTTCAATTAATATCTACACGTTACACAATAAAATTTAACTAGGTGCGGAAATTGATCAGAACCATAAACATGTGATAACACAGAAAACTAAACAATAATTTCTCCACCTTCTGCACTTGAATTCAGAAGCAGTGCCATGGATGGAACTGAAAAGGCACAATAGATTCACTAGTTGAAGTTGAAAATACAGTTCAGGTGACTAAAAGCCTTGAAATTAAGCAAAAAACATATTAACTAACCACAAATCTACAAATTAAGTTGCCGAGTGGCAATCGAGTTAGACAGACACATGTTTAGGTTTCTGATTCTGAGTATGGATTACAAGAAACAACATGGTCACATCGCAAACACTTGTTGGGTCCATTTGTCAAAGTGAGAGGCTCAGGTCAATACCCTTTTCTGCGTCCTCTTCCTTGCCACAGGTTTTGCTCCGAGATGCATCTCCTACTAGGGCCAAACTAGGGTCGGAGTTTCCGCACCGAGCTTCCTCATCCGCGAAATCTTCAAGTTGAAACTTTGGCTTCCAAACCCCAACTTTACTTTCTTCCTTGCCCCTCATAATCTCACCCTTCTTCAACTTGCTGTCACCTGACCTCAAACCGATCCATCGATCGCGAGTGTCGCGGATGTTTCTCACCAAGGCGAAGAACGTTTCCATTTTGGCTTCCTCGTCTTCTTCTTCTACTTGGCAAACTTTCCTCTTCTTGCTGCTGTTACCTGAACTCATCTCCATCTTGAAAAAGTTACTCAGAATAAAAGCTGAAGACAGAAAGAAAGGAAGATTCGGAGAAAAAGAGAGGACGCGCAACGCATGCAGACAGGACGCAGTTTCTTGGTTGCTTCCGAGTTTATAAGGACATCATGATCAACGTTGCCCAATATTCTTTAAGGAATTTAAATGACCAATATGCCACCAAATTATGGCTTTGTACCTTTTGTTCTATTATACTATGGCAAGTCAAACTAAGTCTTCGTATACTATAAGTCCTTCCATAAAACAAATGTTATGTTGCACCAAATAACAATTAATACTTGCATTTATACAAACTCGATCATGCTTGCTTTGTGTGTAATCTGTTTTTCAATTTTCAATTTAACTTTTATACAATAAAATCTAAATTTGTGTTTTCATAATAAACTTGTATTATATATTTCCTGTTTTTTTTTTCTTTCTGTTTTCGTTTCCTTTTTTTATTTACAAAATTACCATACTGCTTTTATTTTGTTGCCTAATTTCAGAGGTTTTGTACAAAAATAGTGAAAATAGCTTTTTTTCCTGTACAAATATTAGAAAATTAAAAGGAAAATAAAAACAAAGTGATACTTTTATAAATAAAAATAGAAAATAGAAAATAAAAATAAAAGTAAACATACTCTTAGTTTTTTTCTCTACGCATTGTTTGGAATAAAAATAGAGAGGGATATATGTTAATTATTTTTAATGTAAAAGTAAAGTGCATATGCATATATCCTTATGCAATTAATAAAAGTAAAGTGCATGTGCATATAACCTATGTATCATAAGTTTTTTTTTATTAATTATTTTTTTATGTGCAGACTTTATTATAAGTTAGAGTTTAGGTAAACGGGGTGTATGTGTTTTGGCATTGCACATGGTTGGGTGACGTCACTTGATTACGGCACCCATATTAGTGTATTACGTTACTTTCCTTCATTATAAAAAGAAAAAAGAAAAAAACAATGGACCTGGATTAGTTTGCTTCAACCCAAGTCCATAGAAAAATAATTAAAAATGTTTATCTTTAAGCTATTCTAAAAAGTGTACCAGTAAGTTTCACGTTATCAAACAACCAAAATCTATAGGTAACAACTGTATATATTACATTTTTCTAATTAGAGAAATACTAGTGGAAAAAATACTTTTAAAATCGGTTATTTTTTATTTTTAAAATTGGTTATCTGGCGGATTTTACAAGAGAATTTTAAAAAGTCTTACTTTTAACATCAGTCATTGACCGATTTTAAAAGTAAGACTTTTAACATTGGTCAAACATCAACCAATTTTAAAAGTTAGACTTTTAAATTGGCACAGGTCGTTCCGCTTTCCTCAAAAGGCCTAAAACTGCAGTTTGGAACGGCCCGTGCTGCAATTAGAACGACCCATCTACAATCAGAACGGTCTGTTCTGTTTGCAGAATGGCCCGTACTACAACCAGAACGTGTCGTTTTGATTGCAGAACGAGTCGTACTGCAACCAGAACGCGTCGTTCTAATAACAGTACCGGTCGTACTGCAATCAGAACAGTCTGTTCTGCAACCAGAACGACCGGTTCTTGTTGCAATACGGGGCGTTCCAAATTCAAAATTTACCAAAATGCAGTACATGAAAAAAATTAGAATATTACCTTGATATAGTAGTCTTGCAAAGAAAATGAAAAGCTAGGGACTTTAGATGTAAGTGCGAGAGAGAGTAAAGAAAGGATTGGAGGGAAAAGGATGGGGGGAAAGAGAATAATTATAAGCTTTGACATTTTTAAAATCGGTTATTTAAGAACCGATTTTATATATATATCCAGTATACAAAATCGGTTCTTAATGAGCCCATTTTAAAAGTAACTTTTAAAATCGGCTCTTAATTAGCCGATTTTAAAAGTAGCACCTTTAAAACCGGTTCTTAAGGAGCCGATGTTAAAAGTAGTTTTTAAAATCAGTTCTTAAGTAACCGATTTAAAAGTAGGGGTTTTAAAATCAGTTCTTATGTAGCCGATTTTAAAGTTAGCATTTTTAAAATCGGCTCTTAAGTAACCAATTTTAAAAGTAACACTTTTAAAATCGGCTACTTATGAACTGATTTTAAAAGCTACTTTTAACATCAGCTCCTTAAGAACCAATTTTAAAAGTTGCATCAGAGACCTTTTAAAATCGATTAAAAGGTAACCGATTTAAAAAATAATGTCATTATTTACAAAATTGTCACTGCATCACTTTTAACATCAGCTGCTTAAAAGCCGATTTTAAAACTCCAATTTTAAAAGTGATTTTTGTAATAGTGAAAACTGATAATTATAATATTTAAAATTGAATGAATCACGCCTAAATTGTAATAGTAAGTTAAACTCGGCATTGAGAATTGATAAAATGATAAAAAAAATTCTTAAAATTATACATCATCAATAATTTAATTTTTAAAATATAATTAAAAATTAAATTAATATATGAAATACCAAGAAAATATTGGTCTAAATAGCAGTGAAATTGGTTTCTTTAAGCATGTTCTCGAATTCAAGTCTTATCATTAAAATAACTTGATTAGGAAGAGAGATCTATTAAAGAAAATTTCTTGTTGTATAATTGTATATATATAGTTAATCACTTATACATTGTTAGTGTAAAGTTTTTTTACACTGACAACCAATTATATATTTTAATTGTGTCATGTCACTGTTAAAAGTAAATATGTTTACAGTGACATGACACAATTAAAAAATATAATTAATTACCAGTTTAAAAGAACTTTACACTGATAATGTATAAATGATTAACTCATATATATATATATGTATATATATATATATATAGAATATTAAATATATCATTATTGTATTATTAATTGTACATTTAATTTGACAATTGTATGTTGATATTTGTATGAAAAAAAGTAAATGTTTATATAATAAATCTAACGATCCAATATATCCTTATACTTTACGATTCAATAACTAAAGCAGTGGAAACATAATTCTATTTAGACTAAGATTTTTATGCAAATAATTCCTAGATATACATGCAACAATATATATCCCTACTATTTATCGTTCAACAACTAAAGCAGTGAAAATATAATTCTATTTAAACTAAGATTACTATGCAAATAGTTCCTAGATATACATGCAATAATACGTGTGTGTTATATCTACAAACAAATCCAAACTAAAGACATAATCTTAATTATCGATCAAGAAGCAAATGAAGAACAATTACACCAAGATAGCCTTAAAATAATCTGGTCATCCTCCAGCATGACTCACAAAATGAACTCTTTTTCTAGCCTATTCCTACCCTACTCCCATAATAAATACTATGATCATCGCAATCCAACCATATGGATATATGCAAGGGTAAACTTATAGAAATAACTTAATATTAAATTAACTATACAATAATTTCAACAACACAACATTCAACAACCATTAAGGTAACGACTCATCAACATAGATCAATACATCAACACAACTTTACATTTGACAACATGACAACATTTTCCACTTACAACACAACTATGCAACTTATCAACATTTCAATATAGCATATGAACAACACAATATATCAATATATCATATGCACAACACATAAATTATATGTGTTGTCACACATTCAATTGAGAAATCTCTTACAACATAGGTGAGTAGTATAAGTGACTTGACTCTACCAAACCAACTAAATAACACAATCTTTTAATTAGGCTTGCTAGATCAATAATAAATTTAGATAAAAATTCACAACACAATACGATTTTTCATATTTCACAACTTAAACTATGAAAGCCCAATTTTCTTATAAGGGTATGAGAACAAGGATATGAGACTACCACAACCTTAACATCCATAACTAAGCATAATATGGAATTAGCCCACCAACTACCCTCTAAATATTATACCCTTTCTAATACTTAGTTAGGGATTTTACCCAAACCTTGTACCTTACTTGATTTGGTTAATTTGTATATGCATGGCTTGATCTTGCCCCATATAGATCTACATTGGTTGCTTTATAATTAGTATAGCTTGAGTAGACCCCTATATTGTTTTATAATGGTTGTGTTATACACATATGACTCTACTTGACCTTCATACGACATCAACTAGATCCTAGAGGAGACTCAACATTCCAATTTAAGAGTCAACTTTTCAAGAAGAATTTTCAACAATTAAGCTTGTAGAGCACCAAAACACCATATCCTCGAAATGAGGTATTCAAATTTTAAAATAATCATTTTCTCTAGTCCTAAAAATCAACACAATCTAACTACATGATTTAAGCATTCTCAACACAGTCACCTCAACACTATACAATATACAACCCTACGATATTTCAACATTTAACAATTTATAACTTTTAACAATGTAAACATCAATATATATCATCTTAGATCAATGTATAAAGTACTAGAATCATACAATGACTTGTATCATGTGAGCAATCCAATCTACTAACACATTTTCAACACTTAGTCGATAAAACAAGTTTTTCATTTAACATCTTATACCTAACGTCATTCTTTCCACGTCTAGTGTCATTGAGGCAAAGAACCCCTGGCCTTTCCGCACTTGAAGCTGAACTACTTGTGTCCGACGTCATTGAGGCAGAGAACCTTTGTTCCAATCACACTTGACCTAGCAAAATCTACGTCCAACCATATTTCAGGTAGGGAACCTCTACCTAACTCACGCTTGACGTCACAACACTTGAGCCTGACGACGTCCAGACAAAAAACTTTTATCTTAATCACACTCGACGCCACTCAACTAGGGCCGAGCATCACCAAGTTCAAGAGCTCCAAGGACATTCGCACTTGGCACCATTCCACCTACATTCGGCATAACCAAGTTAGAGAGTTCTCCTCTAACTCACACTCGATCCTACCAATCCCAAACCTGACATCAGTGAGGGAAATAACCTTTGGCTTACATAACACTCGACGCCATGAGGTTGTTCTCAACACGATGTCGATGTTGATTTCTACACTTAACAAACTCTCATTTTTGCTCAAAACCATCAAAAACTTAGAAAACTTCAATAGGTAATACCATATTTTTCATTTACACAACATAAGCATCTCAATTGTAATCAAAATAACCAAATGAAACCAAAAATGATCAG